GTCAACACTGATTGGCTCATGTAGGGAAGAAGACTACTTGAAATTATCCTATGGGATTAAAAGTGCTCTCAAAGCCTGTTGACTTCTCTGGTGGCGCAGTGGTTAAGAATCTGCCCGCCAATGCAGGGGACACGGGTTCGAGCCCTGGTCCGGGAAGATCCCACATGCCGCAGAGCAGCTAAGCCCGCGCGCCGCAACTACGGAGCCTGCGCTCTAGGGCCTGCGAGCCACAACTGCTGAACCCATGAGCCACAACTGCTGAACCCGTGAGCCACAACTGCTGAAGCTTGCGCACCTAGAGCCCATGCTCCACAACAAGAGAAGCCACCGCAATGAGAAACCCACGCACCACAACGAAGAGTAGCCCCCGCTCGCCGCAACTAGAGAAAGCCTGTGCGCAGCAACGAAGACCTAATGCAGCCATAAATAAATAAATTTTAAAAAGAAAGCTTTAAAAAAAAACGTACTCTCAAAACCCACTGGTCAGCAAGGACGTACCAAGTCCTACAGGTTGCCCACTTCTGTACTAGGGGGCTGTGAGGTACAAGAAAGTAGGCACCATACGGTCATTACCCTCAAGGAGCTTCCAGGCAGGCTGGAACACAGGAGTACTGTTCATGAAATAGTAAGGCAATAAATAAAAACCTGCCCTGGATATTTGAGATTCTACATTGTTCTTGTTCTGTTCATGCATTTGTTTGTATTGCGTTATAATTTATGTACAGGTAAATGCACAGATCTCAAGTATACAGTTCACTGAGCTTTGACTAGTGCACACGTCTTTGTAAATCACAACCCCATCAAGGTACAGAACATTTCCATCACCGGAGAGAGCTCCCTCAGCTCCCTTCCCAACCAAGCCCCACCACTACCAAAGGCAACCACTCTTCCGATTTCTTTTACCACAAATTAATTTAGCTGTTTCTTAACCTTCATTTTAAAAAAAAAAGAAATCCTACAGTTGTATGTGAGATTTTTACTTTATTTTGAAGTGAATTTGTTAGTCTTATTTATGACTATTTTGATAACTTATTTGTAGCTATTTTATAAGGAAAGCAGCTTTTGGATAGACCTCCAATTTTAAGACAATCTATAACCTTTGATATTGGCTCAGTTAATTAGAGCTCGATTAGTGACGATATAGTCAGTAGATTTATTATCACAAGATTAATAAGTAAAATCAACATCTTTTGCTAAACATAGCTTCAACTATAAGTTTAAAAAACACAGCATTCTATACAGCCATTTTAGCAAGTATAGTTTTCATGACAGGCATCCACGGTCTAAAAGTTACAAGTCAGCTGTCCTTAAAATTATTAAAGCATTCCAATTATTAAGTGAGAACTTCTGCTTTCTAAGAGACTGAGGATAGATGTAACTCAGTTGTCTTGGTTTTATAAGCATCGGCCAACCTTCCTCCCTATCATTTTCCACAAGCGAAGAGTAATGATGTAGCCAGCGTTTTCCTTTAGCAAAAGCACTTAGACTGGGGCTTCCCTGGTGGCGCAGTGGTTTGGAGTCCGCCTGCCGATGCAGGGGACACGGGTTCGTGCCCCGGTCCGGGAAGATCCGACATGCCGCGGAGCGGCTAGGCCCACGAGCCATGGCCGCTGAGCCTGCGCGTCCGGAGCCTGTGCTCCGCAACGGGAGAGGTCACAACAGTGAGAGGCCCGCGTACCGCAAAAAAACAAAAAAAAAAAAGGAGCACTTAGACTAATAGTTTCTCCTATTCTCAGGTATCCTGCTTTAAAAGTAAAACCTGTGCTTTTTGGTTTCAGGGTCAATTTTTTGTTTCATTCTTAATTCTGCATATATCCTATATATTGATTCTACAACTGTGTTGTAGAAGTTCAGAAAAAAGCCATGAAAAAAGAGTGAAATAATGTCATTTGTGGCAACATGAATGGACCTAGAGATTATCATACTAAGTGAAATAAGCCAGACAGAGAAAGGTAAATACCATATGATATCAGTTGTATATAGAATGTAAAAAACAAAAAAACATACAAATGAACTTATTTACAAACCAGAAATAACCACAGACATAGGTAACAAACTTATGGTTACCAAAGAGGAAAGGGGTGGGAGGGATAAATTAGGAGGTTGGGATTAACATATACACACTACTATATATAAAGTAGATAACCAACAAGGACCTACTGTCTAGCACAGGGAACTATACTCAATATTTTGTAATAACCTATAGGGGAGAAGAATCTGAGGGGCTTCCCTAGCAGTGCAGTGGTTAAGATTCCACGCTTCCATTGCAGGGGGCACACGTTCGATTCCTGGTCAGGGAACTAAGATCCCTCATGCAGCGCGGCATGGCCAAAATAAATAAATAAATAAAAAGAATCTGAAAAATAATAGATACACATATGTATAACTGAATCACTTTGCTGTACACCTGAAACTAACTCAACATTGTAAATCAACTATACTTCAATTTTAAAAATAATTTTTTAAACTTTTTAATTAAAAAAAATTTTAAATAGAAAAAAAGAATGATCATTTTTTTAAATTAATTAATTTATTTATTTTTGGCTGTGTTGGGTCCTCGCCTCTGTGCAAGGGCCCCCCCAACCGCGGCAAGTGGGGGCCACTCCTCATCGTGGTGCGCGGGCCTCCCACCGTCGCGGCCTCTCCCGCTGCGGAGCACAGGCTCCAGACGCGCAGGCTCAGCAGCCGTGGCTCACGGGCCCAGTCGCTCCACAGCATGCGGGATCCTCCCAGAGCAGGGCCCGAACCCGTGTCCCCTACACCGGCAGGCAGACCCCCAACCACTGCGCCACCAGGGAAGCCCAGAATGATCATTTTTTACTAGAGGAATTGAAGAAGTTTTATAATAGAATGAGAAATTGAGCATTATCTTGACATATACATGGATAAAGAGAAAAAGGAGGGAGTAGAAAATCATAAACAGTTAAGAGAGAGCATGACATGAGGAAACCTGTCATAAAGGAACCAGAGCCCTTGAAGAAATATGTAAAGTCAAATAAGTAGAATAGTGGCAGATAGGAAAACTCTTGAAAGTCAGATAAAGGAATCGTAGAATCTGAGTGGCAGGGTACCTTGGAGATCCTTAGACTTCCTATTTAAAGCCCTTCCCTTCCACCGCACCCACATCAGATGTCTGTTTAGCTTATGCTGAATCCTTCCTGTGTGGGCACTTACTGCCTTCTCATATGGTGCATTCTTTTTATGGAGAGTAATAATAATGAGGAAATTATTTATGTTATATGCAATAGGAAGGCACTATCTGGTTTTGAATGTTTAATCTTTTTTATTTTGTATGTTACAGCTGTACAGTGTAGTGATTCACAGTTATAAAGGTTATACTCCATTTATAGTTATTACAAAATATTGGCTATATTCCCCATGTTGTACAACATATCCTTGTAGCTTATTTTATACCTAATAGTTTGTACCTCTTATTCCCCTACCCTTATACTATCCCTCCCGTCTCCCACTGGTAACCACTAGTTTGTTCTCTATATCTGTGAGTCTGCTTCTTTTTGTTATCTTCACTAATTTGTTGTATTTTTTAGATTCCACATATAAGTGATATCATACAGTATTTGTCTCTCTCTGACTTATTTCACTTAACGTAAGTAGATTTAATGTAGAACATGTAGATTCATAAACATGTTTTAGGGAATTTAATCTGAAATATACCTGCCCAGTGCATTAGGAAAGGGACAGAATGAGTTGTCTCAAATAGGTTTTTTTTTAACAGCTTTATTGAGATATGATTCACTTAACATACAGTTCACCATTTTAAAGTATGCAGTTTTAGTGTGTTTAGAGCTATATATCCGTCACTACAACCAATTGCTAAACGTTTTCATTAACCCAAAAAGAAACCCCACACCCCTTAGCTGTCTTCCCCCCAAACCTCCCATCTCCCCCAGCCCTATGAAACCACTAACCTATGCTCTGTTTCTATAGATTTGCTTATTCTAGACATTTCATATAAATGGAATCATACAACATATGGTCCTTTGTGACTCTTTTCTTTCACTTGGCATGTTTTCAGGGTTCATCCATGTTATAGCATGTATCAGTACTTTGTTCTTTTTATTGCCAAATTATATTCCATTGTATGGATACATCACATTTTATTTATTCATTCATCAGTTGATAGGTATTGAGGTTGTTTGTACCTTTTAGCTATTATGATTAAGGCTGCTGTGAACATTCAGGCACAAGATTTTGTGTGGATATGTTTTCAGTTCCCCTGTTTATATACTTAGGAGTGGAATGTCTGAGTCACATGGCAATTCTATGTTTAACCATTTAAGGAGCTGCCAGACTATTTTCTAAAGCAACTTCATCATTTTAGACCCCGACCGGTAGTGAGGGTTCCAGTTTCTCCACATCCTGGCCAACATTTGTTACTGTCTTTTTTATTATTGTCATCCTAGTGGGTGTGAGGTGGTACCTCACTGTGGTTCTGATTTACGTTTTCCTGGTGGCTAATGATGTCAAGCATCTTTTCATGTTTTTTACAGCCATTTGTATGTCTTCTCTGGAGAAATGTCTCTTCAAATTCTTTACCCATTTAAAATTTGGCGGGGGGGGTCTTTTTATTATTGAGTTATATACTCTAGATACAACGTATATTCTATTCTTTATATATTCTAGGTAAAAGTTCCTCTTCACATATATGATTTACAAAATTTTCTCCTATTCTGTGGGTTGCCTTTTCACTTTCATTATAATGTCTGGGTTACGAGTTTTTAGTTCTTTAATTCTTCTGTGTTTTTCTTGTTTTCCCTGTTAGATGGTAAACTTGTGAAATTTACATTGTAAAATTCCACAAATCTGGAAACACTCCTTTTCCGTCTCTGTTGCATCCAGAGAGTGGTCATAGGTGGTGCACATCTATTACAGAATCTGGCTCCACAGCCAGCCACCTCTGCTCCTAGATGTTTCCCTGACAGATCATTTGGTTTCATTCTCGGTGATATGTTACGGTTTATTATTTTGTTTTCTTACAGGTGAACCGCTTTAGTAAGGTGGAAGATCGAGCAATTTTTGTCACTGACCGTCACCTGTATAAAATGGATCCCACTAAGCAGTACAAGGTGATGAAGACTATCCCTCTATACAACGTAAGTGTCCTCTGCTCCTCTCTGAATAAAGGATACTTAACCTGGTGTTCATAGACCACGAGTGGGTCACCAGACTGATCACTAGAACCTCTGGGGCTTTAGGGAGTCCGTGAATTCCTGAAATTTTCTGCCAATCTCATGTTTTTTTACAAAAGTACGATTTTCTATAAGGAGAACCAAAGGTTCCAATAGAATACGAAGGCATTTTGTTTTAAAGTGTAGGACTCTACACTCTACGTGACCTTTATTACTAATCCTAGTCGCTACTCAAATGTTATGACATGAAATGTATTTTCCTATTGATTTTCATAAGCCTTGTTTTTACGTGGAAATGGAATCAGGTAGAGAAGTAGTACGGAATTACTTTATGAAAACGTTACCTCTCTTTTAAATGTAAAATGTATGCTGTTTCCAGAAGTTATTTTCACCAGTATATTTTACCTCTGATGGAAACCCGCTTAGTTATTCACTGTCTCCATGGGGTTTTCAAATTCTGTAATCATTCCTTATTTGAAATATGAAATTTGGTGGGTGCCTCCTTGAGTTTCAATTTGAGACTTAAAAAAATTTTTTTATCCTGCTGTATGGGGTCTGCTTTACGAGTGACTGTTTGTTCTGATCTTGAAAAAGATCTTCCTGGACTGCTGGATCTTTCCACGTGTCAGGTGACTTTCCTCTGTCTGCCCGTTCTTAAAGAGGGAGGTCTGGGTTTGTCCAATCATGGGATCTATGAGGAGTATTATTTGAAGATTGTTTTAAATCCTTTTGGCCTCTGCAAAGGGGAATAGGAAACATATTGTTTTATAGTTTTATTTCGTTAAATCAGGAGTCCTGTTGGCTGTGAGGTTCAATGAAGACAAACTATTCCTGGCTCTGCTAAATAATTTAGAACATCCCTGCAGGCCTGTCACCTGATGGTGAGGCTGAGATTTGTCTCCGTCACCCAGTCCCCCCACCCCACACACACATGCATACACACCTTTCTCCCTTTCAGTAGGAAGGCGAATGGATTGCAGCTAAGAAGGAGATGATGTTCTAATACATTCTTGAGCGTATGTAGTCTTCTTAGCAAAGACTTGTAATCTTATATAGCCATCACAGTTTAAGCCTAATAACCCTGCCGTCTCGACGAAGGAGATGAAGGAAGATACAGGAGAAAACCAAGTTTTGTCAAAGTCTAATAAAGTGTACTTTATTTCTTTGCCTTACTTTCTATTAAAGGGAAATCAATCAGGCACGTGATACGAGTTCGATAAGTAGTTAACCAGGTCTTTGAACCAAAGTTGTTTTCCCAAACTACCTTCCTTTTTCATGTTGACTGGGGTATGTTTAGAGTCACTCTTCCCCTTCGTCATCATTACCATCATCAGGGTTATCAATAATATCATATTATACAAAACTTAGCCACGTTTTGCCACGGAGCAACTAAGCCCACGCACCACAACCACTGAGCCTGCGCTCTAGAGCCCGCGAGCCACAACTACTGAGCCCGTGTGCCACAACTACTGAAGCCCGTGCACCTAGAGCCCGTGCTCCACAACAAGAGAAGCCACTGCAATGAGAAGCCCGCTCACCGCAACTAAGAGTAGCTCCTGCTTGCTGGAACTAGAGAAAGCCTGCTCGCAGCAAGACCCAACACAGCCAAAAATAAATAAATTTATTAAAAAAAAAAAATTAAAAATGTTTAACACTCGTAAAGGTAAGCGATGTCAATAGGATGGATACACACTGTCACAGATGCTGTCGGTACTCTGCCCACCTCCCCTTGTATTCCCTTACCATTTTTGTACACAACAGCCTAACTTCTGACAGCCAACACCTTTGTCCAAAGGCTTCCCTCAGGCTGCCAGAGTCCACAGAGGGCTGGAAACGCCCACCCACCCCCAGCCACCCAAATGACTAGTGGGTGTGGGGTATAAATGCTCCATCCCCACCATTCATCGGTCACAATGATTCTCAGGTGTGTTTTACACCATTTGCTGGAGCTTTTCTGTAGGAATCAGCTGCGCTGCCCGCCGTGTTGGCTGCTTCGTAACGGGACCTACTGGCTGCTTTCCCTTCCTGAGCCACCTCCCCACTCCCTTGCCCATGTACCTGCACCTCCCGAATCAATTCTGAGGCTCATCAGCCTTTGTCTCGGGACCTGCTTTGGGGAGGAACTACCCTCTTAGGAGGGAGCAGATTGAATGGGGCACAGGACTTCCAGCCGTGTCTACCTATAAAAATGTTGTTCATTCTGAAGCAAACACGGCCAGATATTGTCTGGATCATAGGGACATGGGTGTTTGTTATTTTATTCTTTATCCTTTTTGTATGAAATGTTTTGAAGTTACAAACAAAGTTTAAGACAAGGAACCTTTAAAAATGATACTGCTAATAGCAGGAATGAAGAAGCTGGGAGGGGATGAAGGAGAAAGATTTCAATCTTAACTAAATTGAGTTTTGGGTATTGGTGAAACTTGTAAGTACATACCCCATAGATCACTGGCGTCTAATATTGTAAAGGAGCGGCGGGTAGCATTCAGCACTTAGGATAAAAATTTAAGAGCGGACAGATGCATGTATAATTGGAGGCTGAAATTATGAGTCTAGAGGGAGAAGGGGCAGCTGATTTGAGAACATCCACGCTTAAATGGTGGGGAAAAGAGAGTGGCTGAAGGAAATGGAATAAAAAGGAGATCTCTTCTTTCTGGACCTCCATTTTCTCCTCTCCTAATGTGCCGAATGAGCTCTAATTTCCCTTCAGTTCCATAAGGTTATGAATTATTCCAGGAAGGAAAAGAACTTTGGGAACACTGTGTTTCAGAATCAAGTTGGAAAGTTTTCAGAAATGAGAGTAATGAGTGGAAACATATAGCTGAGGATCCCACAGTTACTCTTCCCCTTCTGTGCTCTTCATTCCTCCTTCTGCCCTGGTGCCTTTCCTGTGTTAGTTGGACTTTTCTGGCTCCAGGGAAGAGATGGGTATTAGCGGGAGGGGGAAATTTCCCTCTGTCCCTGTCGAGTTTCTGTGGCTGGACTAATAATAAAATTGACACGAGGCAGATTAACAGGAGAAAACCCAACTTAGTTTTGTGGGCACAGGAGATCATAAAATGATGCACAGAGAGTGACCAAAAGTAGGTAACTTTTATGTCTTTGTGTATAAAGAAACAATAAATTTGTGAGGATCGGACAGGACAGAGAAACTTAGGTTCGGGTGCATAATTATAAGGAATTTAAGCAATGATTGGGCTTGGGTAGTAAATTAGTAAAGAAGTAGCAAGGTTTATTTATACAGGCTTCTCAGACCTGAATTCCCTGTCTCTGACGATAATGATGTCTTTCTACCTCCCAGCCCAGGGAAGGCACCTTTCACATGAGAGGTTTATTTCCTAGTTTCAGAGAAATAGAGAGGAGCATCAAAGTGTCCTTCTTGCATTGGTTGTTTCTTAAGTAACTAATTCAAAACAATCGATATGCCACTGAGACATATTTGGGAGCCTGCCCTGGGCCCCAATATGACTATATACTATCTCAAGTAATGCTTTGCTTTGTTTTTGATAAAGGATACACATGGTAGTAAGGGAAAGGAATCTCATAGAAACCCAGGAAGCGATTCAGGTTTTAAGGCAGCTCTGAGGGGTCATATTATTCCGTGGCCCCCTCAGCAACATGTTGCTTAAGATGGTCTAAGTTTCTGCCATTCACTGTCTCTACTTCTCCTTGTGTGTCTTCTTACTAACAATTACCTTTCTTGCCAGATGGCCTGGGCCAGTGCTAGGCTTAGGTCTGAGTCAGCCAACCCAGCAAACCATTAGAGTTTCATCCTGCAGTAACATTGAACACCGTGTCTCCGATGAGGCCTCACCATAGCAACCAGTTCTGCAGGATCCAAACTGGTACTTCAGCTCCTTGTCAAGCACTTGCAAATCTATGCATAGTCTTGCCTGACTTCTCCTAGCATAGCACGGATAATGACTACAGTTCATTTGAGGTGTAAATGATCTCTTCCCTCTACAATTTTTGACCGTTGTCCTTAGGCCCCAGCCACATTTGGACCTGCTAATTATTGAGGTGGGTCATTAGGTTTTCCTAATGGGAAAGAGTCAGTGGGAGAGCAGTGCTTCAAATAGGCTACATTCATCAGGCATCCTTGGGTCCTTGGACTCTTCCACCTACCGCCATTCCACTTGCCAGGATCCCGGTCTTTGTCAAGCAGGACCTAAATTGCGCCCATGGATGACCACCATAGGTAAGAATTCAGCTGATGCTGCAGTTTGACAATTTAGCCAGTTTTCGAACCTGTGCTTTCAGCGGAAAAGCATTTCCTCGGTTTCTTTACAGCTCCCAGCCAGGCAATATGGGACCACTATTTGTTGCTTTCCTAATGCACCATAAAAAGTACCCATCCAATTCATTGTCTGTGTCTTCTAAATTCATTGAACTTCTATAAAGCAGCAGCACCTAAGTGCCCCAAGCGCTTAACTTTGATGGGCACTTGGTGTAATTTAAGTAAAACTGAGAGCACTGGATTGGCAGACCCTTGGAATGTTTTATTGACATGTGGCACACGCTCTACTGCTATTCACATCTGGGCAAATATTTTCACTTGCTTATTGAAGTATGCCCTACATGCAGAAAAATGCACAGATCTTAAGCGTATAGCTTGACAAATTATCACAAAGTGAGTTCACCTGTGTAACCATCCCCAACATCAAGATATAAGTCGTTAAAACCCCACGTGTCCTCTCGCAGTCGCTACCTCTTCCTTCCTTTTCAGAGGCACACTTTTGCTCTTTTTGAACTTAATGTAAGTGAAATCAAACACTGTGTATTCCTTTTTGTGTTTCTTTCGACATTATGTTTACGAGAACAGCCACGTTATTTCATAAAATTCTAGTTTGCTCATTTTCATCACGGTGTAGCATTTCCTTGTGAGAATATACCACAGGTTGTTTATCCATTCACATGTTGATGGATATTTGAGATTTTTAAAATCACTCTTGTGCATGTCTTTT